TTCTTCTTCTTCTTCTTCTTCTTCTTCTTCTTCTTCTTCTTCTTCTTTTGTTTTTCGAGACAGGATTTCTCTCTATCTTTGGAGCCAGTCCTGGAACTAGCTCTTGTAGACCAGGCTGTTCTCAAACTCACAGAGACCCGCCTGCCTCTGCCTCCTGAGTGCTGGGATTAAAGGCATGCACCACTACCGCCAGGCTAAGAATGTTCTACTTCTAAAAAGGTGCTCTAGATCAGTGATTCTCCACCTTCCCAATGTTACAACCCTTTCTTAAAGCTCCTCATGCTGTGGTGACCCCCCCCCATCACAAAATTATTTTCATTTCTACTTCAGAACTGTAATTTTGCTCCTGTTACGAATTGTAACATAAACATCTGGGTTTTCCGATGGCCTTTGGGGTCATAATCCACAGGTTGAGAATTGCTGCTCTAAAATGACCCTCCCAGGGGCTGGAGAGATGGCTCAGAGGTTAAGAGCACTGACTGCTCTTCCAGAGGTCCTGAGTTCAATACCCAGCAACCACATGGTGGCTCACAACCATCTGTAATGAGATCTGGTGCCCTCTTCTGGCCTGCAGGCATACATGCAGACAGAACACTGTATACATAATAAATAAATAAATAAAAATATTTAAAAAAATAAATAAATAAAATGACCCTCCCAGACCCCATTCCACACTTCTCTGTAGGCCTTTTCCTTCCCAGAAGCCTCTGCCTGCTGTCTCTCTTTCCTTTCCCACTCAGTTCTCACCCATCCTCATTTGGAGTTTTCACAGAAACTTCCACACTGCAGCTGGCGCTACCATCTCAGCGTCAGAGGCTCAGCTCCCTTGGTTCTGTGAGTCAGTCCTTGGCAAGTTCTCACTGACTTCTGCAGCCCCTGCTGTTTCCTCCAGCTGCCCCCCACCTCACCCTCAGCCTCTGAAGCTCTGCAGTTGTGGATACTGCCCACAGCTCCTCTCCTGATGCAGTCATCCTCTCTGGGGAACAGCTCGTTCCCTCCAAGCCTGTCCTGTTTTTCTTTCAGTTGTTATCACAGAACACCCTGACTTAACGCGTCTTAGAAGAGAAAAGGGTTTGTTTATTCCTGCTCCCTGTTCTGGGTACAGTTCATCACTGTTGGGAAGTTAGAGAAGCGGGGGCTTGAGGCAGCTAGCTGGTCATGCCACACCCACAGTCAAGAGCAACAGGAATGTATGTGTGCATGCTGCTAGCTCATGGCTACTTAGAACACATCTGGCTTTCTCTATCTGTATTGAGTCCAGGGTCAAACCCATGAAGTGACACTCCCTCTGCATTCTCAGTAACCCTGCTTGTGATCTCATGCTTCTCTTTGCAAGCATTTGCTGCAGCCTGATGCAGGTGCTCCTTGGAGTAACCTTTCAGTCCCTCCCCAGACAGAGCTCCCCTCCCCGGAGAGAGCCCCCCTCCCCGGATGGAGCCCTTGGGTCTCGTCACTTCTATTGCTCTCCAGGACTGGACAGTGGGTAGGATAAGTCAAGAAAGTGGGGTGTCACCTGGACGTGAAGCTCATACACCTCTCTCCGGAGCTGCGTGGGGCTCTGAAGGACGGAGATGGCTCCAGATGTCTCGTTAATTGCAAAGACTCCATCACTCTCTGTCAGAGAAAAAATCCCTGACTCTTAGCACAAGGTCACAGGAGGTAGCATAACATGGGAATCATGCCACATATTCTTTTTTATTATTATTATTGATTTTTATTGAGCTCTATATTTTTCTCTGCTCCCCTTTCTGCCTCTTCTCTTCCCCGGTTTCAACCCTCCCCCAAGGTCCCCATGCTCCCAATTCACTCAGGAGATCTTGTCTTTTTCTCCTTTCTACTTCCCATGTAGATTAGATCTATGTAAGTCTCTCTTAGCGTCCGCATTGTTATCTAAGTTCTCTGAGATTTGTAGAATGGTTTTCTTTGCTTTATGTTTAAAAACCACCTATGAGTGAGTACATGTGATAATTGTCTTTCTGTGTCTGGGTTACCTCACTCAAAATAATGTTTTCTAGCTCCATCCATTTTCCTGCAAAATTCAGGATGTCATTATTTTTTCTGCCATGTAGTACTCCACTGTGTAAATGTACCACATGGAGAGCTCCTCATAGAATGTAATACTGTCACCTCTCTGTGTCTTGCCAATGAGGAAACTGAGTCTCAGAGGGGCTAAGTAACTTGTCTAAGGTCCCTTAGCCAGTAGAGATCTGGACTTGAACTTTTGTGCAGCTCTCAACATCCATCCCACGTGCCTTTTCTTACACATGAAAGTGTGTGTGTGTGTGTGTGTGTGTGTGTGTGTGTGTGTGTGTGTGTAAGTAAAAAAGGAGCAAGAGATAAGAAATGAAGATGAAGGGGGGATGGGAGGAAGGAAGAGGAACACAGACAGGAACTTGAAGAAGGCCTAGGAGATGAAGGGTGAAAAGGAGAGATGAGGAGGGGTGTGGGATGAGTGTACTGTAACTGGGGGTTGGTTTCAGAGGTGGTAGGGAAGAGAAGACACCCAGAAAGGGAGCCCATGCACAGGTGATTTCTTGGTGGTCACGGCATGGTTTTATTTGAACTCCTGGAAGGTGGCGGTGTACCAGCGTGTCTCGGGGGAAGGATGGCGCACGGCAGATGTAAGCGCAGCTAGGCTCAGGCCCCAGGCGTGCTGGCCTGCTTGACTCCTGTCTAGCTGTGGTAGGAGAATGTGCTAGAGTCATCTGACTTAGATTAAAATCAATAATCAGTAGTCGATACCTAAACCGCCCTTCTGAACCTCTGTTTTCTACACACAGGCCTAGTACTTCGGGAAAGCCACAACACCATTGTATCTAATTCGTTCAATTATCTGCCCCAGTCAATCAGGAAAGAGAAAGATTGAGAAAGAAACACAGAAATTCTGAATGTGTAAGAAATGTTGCTACTCATGCCATTGGTGGCTATGTCCAGGGCAAAAAGAGTATACTTCTCTCTCTGGATTCTGCGGTGTTCCCTCTTACTGGGTGTCATGACAAGCAAGGATAGAGCAAAGTTGTCATCTGAGGAAACTATCCCCACCTTCTTGTCATCCTGGTCCCACAGGTGAGGAAACCAGGATTCAGTTGCACAGAACTGGAAATGTGTCAGAGAGTTATCCTCACTTACCATTCAAGAGCCTGTAGAGGATGCGGTTGGGTTTGCCTCGGTCTCCATCTATGGCAACCACGGTCAGCACCTCCGAGCCCTTGGAGAACAGGAGCCGTTGCCTGAGGCTGTGGTGATGAGAGTGTCTCCCCTAACCCAACACTGCCGCCCCACCATGGACAGGAGATATACTCCCACTCAGAAAAATAGTTGGGCTTTGGGTGGCACAAGAAGGTGACCCCACGGGGACCTGCTTAGGACTCTCTGCACCTGACCTCCCAAGGTTGAAGGGACCACCTGAGTGAATTTTGCCACTCCCTAGTCCCAGGATCAAAGTGTGACTTTCCAGAAACTCTTGACCTCCTAATTGACTCCTAACCAGCCTTCCACCGGAGACTGACTAGTGTGTGGTGAATCCAGCCACCCTCAGGGTTGTCCCAGGGAGTCACACAATGGACGCCAGGTAGGCAATGCAGTCACTCACCGGAAGGGTGTCCTCGTACACATAGCCATAGTAAGGTGTACCCACGAAAATGGGTGCCGTGTCCTGAACATCTTCCACGTTGATGGTGACTGTGGCGGTGGCTGAGAAGACCACATCAGCCCCTCGAAGCCTGCCGCCACCATCCTGGGGAGGAATGGGGCCAGAGAAGGAGGGTGAAGACAAGCTGTCGTCAAAGTGACAGGCCCCACTTGAGTAAATTCCTGCTACTTCCTGACTGTGAAGCCAACTGGCCCCTTCCAATGTCTACTTGTTCTTAGGTCTCTGGAGTCCATTCCTGTTTTTCAGTGGTGTTAGGCATGCCAAAGAAATGACACATGGAACCCTTAAGTCAGGGATCTGACAGCTTTCCTTTGGATACAGAATTAATTAACTCTCCAGGTACATTAGATGTCATTAGTGCCAGGAGGTGGGAGGAGTCAGACCTAAATTCTACCCCTAACTGGAAACCAAGCCTCCAGCAACTCCTAAGAACCTTCCATATGTCCAGCTTATGCTGGTGGCCATGGAGTCCCAGGAATATGACTGAGCAGGTAGGGTGGGTACCCAGCCTCCCAGCACAGGCTGTACGGTGGACTACAATCAAGCAGTAATGTGAAAGGGGGGTCTCTTGCCATCTTGCCATCCTGCGAAAGAAACCAATAGGCCTAATGTGGCACCTGAGTTTTCCTTCTCCCTGGAGGTTTGGCTGAGTGCCTGCCGGTTCCCAGCTCCCACCCTGTGCTTCATAAACTGACAGGAGGAACTTCATAAAGCATCAGAAATGGGCACTTGAGGACACTGAGTTCAGAGAGGGGGAAGCTGGTTACACAGCAAGGAGGAGAGTAGCATGCCTCATTCTGGCTAGAGAGACAGAGACAATGGAGGTTGTGGGAGGAACACATATCTCTGTGCCATGGCTTCCTCCCCTATGAAGAGACTAACTTCTAAGTGCCTAGGGAGTCATATGACACCCCCTACAAGGAGATGTGGCCCCTCCAGCCTAGAGACACTAGCCTCCCCGGAAAATGTGTTCAGGCACAAGAATTTCCAAGCAGCTGCCCCCTACCCCCTTTGCCTGTGTCTCCTGTTCTTGAAAATACCTGCTCTTTAATAGAACCTCATGGTGCTTCAACCTAGCAGAGGCTGAAGTTACCACTGGATATTCCCCCTACGTCCTCCTTTGTTACCTTGGCGACCACAGTGATGAAATGAGCTCGCGACTTCTCGTAGTCCAGTGTGGCTCCAGCCTGGAGACGCAGCACGCCACTGTGGCGGTCCATGGTGAACTTGGAGGAGTGGAGGTTCTGTAAAGTTGGACAGCAGCTGAACTCGGGCTGCAAGCAGACCATGCCAGAAGTTCTCACGCTGCCCATTGAAGGAGTCACTGACCTTTCTTCCAGAAACCCTGACTTCCAGGCTTAGATTGCAGGTTCCAGTCCCCTGCTGTCTGAACTCAGGGGCTTCCAGCAAGGAAACTTTTGTTCAGGTTTTCTATACTTCAGTCAAACCCAGCTCTCCCTCCCAGCAAAGCCTGCTGGCTTGTAGCAGAAAGAAACATTCACCGAGTATTCTGACTTGGTCGAAGCTAGGGCTTAAGAGTAATAGTGAAAAAGAGAGATCTGGGAACCCTCAAACCACACCAGGTGAAAAGGGGCTGTGGTGGTCATAATCAGTGTCTGATAGGAGATGGTGAGTGACCAGAAACAGGCTCTAAAAACACTCGACTCTGCTAAGTTCCTCAGAGGCTCTCCCAGTTGGGGAAGGTCGGGAAATAGGTTCCAGATACTGTAATCTTAGCTTTACACATGTTTAATCCTCATGATGCTTGAAAAAGTAATGTTTCTCATTCCCAGTCGAAGAGTTAAGAAACATGCTGGAGGAACACGCCAGTGTGTGTGTGTTTGTGGAGGAAGTGTTCACCTCTAGTTCTAATGAGTTCAGAGGATTTCTCTAGAACTAGTAGTTTAAGCCACGATGACATATTGCCTTGAGAATTTGAGATTCGGTGGCCAGATTTGGAAAGAATAGAATGTCCTACAAAAAGAGCAACAATGGGGCTGGCGAGATGGCTCAGCAGTTAAGAGCACTGGCTGTTCTTTCAGAAGACCCAGGTTCAAATCCCAGCACCCACATGGCAGCTCACAATTGTCTGTAACTCCAGTTCCAGGGGATCTGATACCTTCACACTAATGCACATAAAATAAAGTTAAATAAATTATTAAAAAAAAAAAGCAACAATGTGAGGTGGATAGTGTCTCCTGGGAGACCAGGAGAAGGCAGTGGTCCAGGGCAGAAGCTCTCGTCTTTGCCAATGGGGCATAGAGGGATGGAGTGAGGGCTGGGGCAATCTGACACTCATGTTTGGCATAGTACCTGATTTCTTCTTCCTATTGACCATTTGAGTTTTAAATGAATTTCTTGCAAGGTGTGAGGGTGCTAGGTGTCTAGAAATTCTTTAGGGAGAAGGGTGGGGGAAGCAGAGAACTGAGAGTCCCATAACCCTAAAGAGAGAGAGGGTCTGGCCCAACTCTGAGGAAGTCAAGATGGGCCAATTTGGGGGAGAGGTCTCCTGTCTCCTTCTAGTCTTCATCCCTTGAGAACAGAGACACTGGCAGGCACAGGGGAGGGGGGTGCTAGCTGGTGATGGAAGTGGAGGGCACCCAGGTGTCCTCTCCAGCTCAGGGCCCTGGTTGCACTGTGTATGTCCTGTCTTACCTGTAGGAAGTAGGTGATACTGCCTCCAGAGCCAGTGTCCTTGTCCTCTGCGTGGACCCTAAAGATGCTGCTCCCAGCCGGTGTGTTCTGAGGGACCACAGCCAGAGAAGGATCAGTACTGATGACAGGATGGTGGGGGAGGCAGAGACATGAGGGTTATGGAAGAGAGAGGTTGGCAGGGTGACTGGACAGGGGTGAGGAGTGGTGACAATGCACCCAACAAGTGACAGAGAGGAGCTGAGGGAGTGGACATAAGGACAAGGATGGGAAGGGAGAGAGCAAGAAGAGAGAGGCCGTCCAAAAGGGGAGAGTAGGAAGCAAAAACCAGGCCCCTAAGAGCTAAAAGATTTAAATATAAAATACTAATTGACAAACAAAGGCACAGCTCATAAACACGGACATATTCAGAATTACCAGGGAACACATATGCACAGTTTACTGCAAGAATGGAGGATCTTTCACCAAGGACTTAGAAGACATGTTTATCGATAGGTGTGTGTGTGTGTGTGTGTGTGTGTGTGTGCTCGTGCGCACTCGCACACATGCCATAGTCATTTGTATGTGGGTCAGAGGACAACTTGCAAGTGTTTTTTTCTTCACCTTGTGGGCTTTGGGGATCAAGCACAGATGGTCAAGATTATTGGCAAACACCTTTACTCACTAAACTGAGTGGCCCCTTAGCAAACGTTAGGATGGAGACAGTTGCTCTCTTGTGTCACAGAGCAGAGGGCAAACAAGGTGACCCTTTAGGAAAGTACTTTGGTAATGTAAGAAAAGAGTGACACGTGCTTTATACTCAATTTACAAACAAAGACACAGCTCATAAACACGGACATATTCAGGATTGCCTGGTTCAGTTCTCAGCACCCACATGGGGGATCACAACCATCTTTAAGTTTGGTCTTTTCAGGCACTGTACACATGTGGTACCCAGATTTAACATTCAGGAAAAGCACTTATATTCAAAAAGTAAATAATAAAATTTTAAAGAATTTATGTAAGTGACTCAGTACAGTAACTTCAATTTTTTTTAACTCTTATCTTAAGGATTCTTTTTGTATTAGGAGGCAAATTCAGGGCCCCAAGCATTGTTGGGAAGTCTTCTACCACTGAATTACACCCCTAGTCTGAAGACAAAAGAATCTCAAGTGGAGACAGGAAGACCAGAATTCAAAGCCATCCTTTTTACAGAGCAAAGCTGCAAAAAAAAAAAAAAATCCAGATCTTTTTATTTGGGTTATTCCTAGCACTTGGTAGGCAGAGGCAGGCAGATCTCTGTGAGTCTGAGATCAGCCTGGTCTATAAGAGCTAGTTCCAGGACATCCAGGACTGCACAGAGAAACCTGTCTTGAAAAACAAAGCAACAAACAACAAAAAGAAAATTAAAGGGGGAAAACATGTCTGTATGGGTGGGAAAACAGCTCAGTGGTTTAGAGAACTTGCTGTTCTTGAAGTGGACCTGGGTGCTGTTTCCAGTACCAACACGGCATCTCACAACCAACTGTAACCCCAGTTTCAGGAGACGTGACCCCTTCTTCTGGCCTGTGTATGCACATGGTACACACGCAGTCACAAACAATAAGCAAGTGAATATTTTTAAAAGCTTTGCTTAAAGGTGGATATTTCTTGGGACAGTAGAAATGGAAAGCTTAAATATCCAAATATAAGGGGGGATTCTTGGCTTCCATCAGTGTATGCTGGCTGTTCTTGATAGAAGCTTTTACAATGATGCTAAGGACCTAAGCTTGACAAAGAAGGAAGAAAATTCTTATGTTGTAATGAAATGAAGAAACAGAATAAAGAGAGCATATTTTTAGAATCACAATTACGTCAAACAAAAAGAATAAAAACCCTATAACCACACATATAAAAATATTAAAAGGAAATACAGCAAAATTTAGTTAGGTCTCCAAGTAGGGGCATGATAATGGCTTTAAAATGCATTTAACATTAATATGCAGGCATTTTCAATCATAGTGAAAGCAGCAAGCGGGTGTAGAGAGTAATGGACAGGTGTACTACATGCAGGGTTCGGTCAGAGGGTAGCTTTGGGATGAGGCCATGGGCCCAAGTGGGAACTTTGTTCCTGCCTAGAGGTCCCTCACTCACCTCTGGAACCAGGACAGTGTAGGGCTCCTGGATGAACCTTGGCGCCTCGTCATTGGCATCTGTCACCAGTATCACAACTTTCTCTGCCACCTGAGGAGTGGAAGAGCCAGGAGTTGGGGCAGGAAAACCTTCTTGAGAGATTAAAAAGATGTCCCTAATGTCCCCGGCTATATGTTTCTACTACTATTTCTCTCTGTCTCTCTCCCTCCCTCTCTCCCTCTCTCCTCCTTTCCTTTCCATCCTGCTTTTGATTATTCATGCAACAAATATCTTCAAGCAACCCCTTGATGACAGGCGCTTCGGTTCACCCTAGAGACAGAGGAACATTTGATGGAACATTTTTTAGTGACCGCAGTGGTTTAGCTATGGTGAGAAATCAGCATATAGAGATACCATTTAGAATGGCAATGTAATATACAAATCCTGAGAGCAATGTTCCAAATATAGAACCACCTGAGAAAGTATGTCTATGACCTCTGCCAACGTGTCCTTCGTGCTGAATGCTGCAGCCAGAGGCCCTACAAGGATCCTGAATTGTGGTGGTGGATATCTGGGGACCTCTGGGACCAGAAGTATCAACCCTGCAGTGAGTTTGCCAGAGGGAAGATACAGAAATGAGCCAGGAAGCTGGGGTCAGTGGGCAAAGCCAAGAGGAGACAGACACAAACGGAATTCAGAGCACAGAAGGAGAGTCTGGCTGCATGGTTGGCAGGATGGGTGGGGGAGAAGCGTTGGGAGAGGCAGATGGCACCTGACAGGGAGGCCTTGCAGGGCCACTTGGATTTCATCCTGAGGGAGGTGAGGGCCAGCTGTCAGTGCTTTCCCAACTGGAGAGCAGCCAGATCTGCGCTTCCCAGTGAAAGTCTTGACGGCACTCTGAATACAGACTGGGTGGTCAGAGAGCCCCTGGGGCCTGTCACAAGCATGTCAACACTGAAATGGCTGGCAGAAGGTAGAGGCTGTGGGAGTGGAGGAAAAGGGAGGGAGAACACCTGGCACCCTCGGGCCAAGAGCCAGACGCAGAAGTTGGCAGATGGGGAATGAGTAGACAGGTCTGAGGAGATACGTGGTGTAGGCGAGACCCATGAGAAATGAAGCTGAGTGGCCTTGACCTCTGCTTATCCCTTCTCTTCATTCACCCGTGACCTCACTGTGTTCCCTTAGACATGAAGGCCAGGCCTTCACTGTCCCGGGTTTGGTTTGTTCGGGGGATGCCACAGCTGAAAGAGGAACGGTGCCCGTGCAGGCTGACTCACCAGGTTGAGGCCATCGGAAATGCTGATGATGGCTTCTATCTCATCTTCCTTCTGTGAAGCAAAGGAACTGAGTGACAAACTGGGAGCAGCTTAGATTAGAGGCTGTGCTAAGCTGTAGCCCTGTCCCAGAAGGCTGTTTTAGGGAGTCCGGAGCAGTCATCGTGGTTTATGAAGCTCCCTCCTACCAGGTGTGAGACCTTATTTGGGAGGGCTCTGTGTATCCAGAGTTCTCCTAGATCCAGAGGGTTCCTTGTGTCCCCCAACAGGTGTTTTTCTGCTAGAGAAAGAGGGGGCAACCCCGGTGTGGTGTACCCAAGAGAGGAGTTTTTCTCACTTCTCCTTTCTTCTCCCTCCCTTATATCTCCACACCTACAGTCCAGGATTCAGCAATGGTCCATGTTCATGGTGTCCCAAGTGTTCCCTAGGACTTGCTGGGATCTCGAGGAGATTACCAAGTGCACGCGTGCGCGTGCGCGCACACACACACACACACACACACACACATAAAAATACAGGGCACAGGGTAGTGTGTTGGCAGTAATCTGCCTCTACTACAAAATCCTCATCACCGTGCTGAGTGCTGTGGCTTCCCCTAGCTCCCTCCTGCTGCCCCCTCTGCTGACCTGTGGTTTGGTGGGTTTTGCTATGGAACCAGAAAGATCAGTAGCAACACAGCTGAGTTATGTAGGCAAGTGGAGGGAGAGGAAACTTAAGCTATATCATCCCAGGGTTCAGAAGTACCCAGAATTAGGGTTGTCCCAAACTCAGATGCTCTCTCTCTCTCTCTCTCTCTCTCTCTCTCTCTCTCTCTCCCACTCTCTAGCCTAGACTGTGGAAGCCCCTGGGGTTTGTGGGGCTCCTCCAAGACCCACAGGTGGGTGTGGGGGGCTCTTTCAGAAACTTCACAGCACAAATCTTGATTGTTAATAAAATACGCTTTAAAGACAAGCAAGGTCGGCAGCTGCTGCTGAAGGATCACCACTACCTACCCTGGAAGGATAAAGAAATCTTTGCTAATATGAAGCAGGCTGGGGAAGAGTTGTGGTATAGGGATTACCCCCTCCCTCACCCCATCTTCCACAGAGAGTTGCACAGAGGTTTCTGAACGCTAAACAAATGGTAACCCCGATTTTCTCCTGTGCCCCCTTTGTACCTCTCTGTCCAGTTCTTCCACCAGGGTGATGTTTCCAAACCTGGGATCAACAGAAAAGACACTTCTGGTGCTGGGGTCGAAGCTGATGTGGTAGGAGACAGGGTCTCCCTCGGGGTCAGTCCCATTTAGGGTGTACACGTGAGAACCTGGAAGGAGACAAAAGGAATATCTGGAACCTGGGACCCAACTTCTCCTGAAAGTAGAGGATACTCCGAGCTAGAGATTTCACTGTTATTATTCAGTGCCTTGGGGACTGCTCTCTTCCCAAGGCCTCGCCCCTGCTGGCTGCTTCCTTCTTTCTCTTTATTCTCCAAAGATATCAGACATTATCATCAGCCTCTTTACTGTACAGTAGTAGAGTCTGTGGAGGAGGAGGCAAACTAGAGTGACGATTCTTCTACCTGAAATGAATTCTTTCCAAGAGGTTAAAACTGGGGGGGGGGGGTACCTGGAATCAGGAGTCATCTTCCCAAGAGCTAGGGAAACCTTCACAAGGTAAAATACAGGGTGTAACCATTCCTATCTCCTTCTACCCACCACTCTGCACACCTCTTGGTTAGAAGTTCTTGGGTGGTAATTTTTTCTTTTTTAAAAAAATTTTATTGATTTTTTTCTGAGCTCTACATTTTTCTCTGCTCCCCTCCCTGCCTCTCCCCTCCCCTTCAACCCTCTCCCAAGGTCCCCATGCTCCCAATTTACTCAGGAGATAGTGTCTTTTTCTACTTCTTGGGTGTTTTAAGTAGACTTGCGGAAGTTAATATGTTTGCTCAAGGTCACACCCTAAAGAGCAGCAAGCACCACAAGACTACGCTTCAAAGAGAGTCAGCCCACCCCATCTTTGGGTTCTCTTCCCAGTCTCCGGGAGGGGTCCAGCTTAGGTCACCGTGGCAGCAATGACCTCCTTCCCTGCCATTACCCTAAGGGCATTCAGAACACAAACAGAGTACCCATGGGGCAAGGAGTCGTGAGTCCTGTCCTTGAGTTCTGGAGTTCTTTTCCCTCTGGGGAAACTCACCCTGGAGACCTGGGGCGGCTGCGGCCAAGACTACTTTCTTACCTACAGGAGTGTCTTCTGGGAGGCTGAACAGGGCCATGTTTCCATTAGTGCTGCCCACTCCATTGTCAAAAAAGTGAGGGGCAAAGTTGGCTTGGGCTAGAAAAAGAATAAAGACAAACAGACACCTCGAGAGAGCTTCACACCAGCAAAGTCACCTATCTGGGCGCTGCTAATGAAACAGAGGGATTCTGTCTCCCTGCAGAGTTCCTCTCTGGGGTACTTGGTGAGGGTATGCTTGGATTAGGCTCAAGCGTTTCAGGGACACATTTTACCGAAGGCATGTAGAATCAGGGAGAAGGACAATCCCACCCCATCAAAGGGCTCAGAGAGAGGCTCTGTGTGCTGGGCCAAGGTCACACTTTCTGCCATGTTCAGGCAGCCAGCAGATCAGTGTCTTAGCCTCCCAGCGCGAGTTTAAAAGAGCCAAAATATCTAGTAGCAGAACCCCAGACTCCCGGGATGCTGGCTTCTAGCCTCTGGAGAAGCGCCCTGGGAGCGTCCCATCGCCCTGTCTCCCAGTTGGAAGGCTGCTCTCTTCCCAAGGTCTGCAACTGGACAGAGCAACCTCAGCACCCCTGTTTCCTCAGGGCGCGCCAACCCCCACCCTCCAGGGCCCTCGCCACTCACCCAGGTAAACGTGCAGCAGCCCCAGAACCAGGGCAGCCCGAGGACCGGGCCTCATGTCTCCGCAGACTGGTTGAGAGCCTGGCCACTGCCGGGACCGGGTGCTGGACCTCGGAGCATGCCCTGGGCGCGGGAGGAGAGCAGAAGCGATGATGTGGGTGACAGTGGCGGCGGCGGCAGCGGCAGCGGCGGCAGGGAGGGAGCGCGGGCGGTGCGAGGGCGCTAAGCCTATGCCAGCGCTCCGGGAGCTACACAGTTAGATGGCTCAGGTCAGACAACTAATAAGACCAATTAAGCGGACCGACTTAGAGCAGCGGGCGGGAGGGCGGAACAAGACTGCCTCCCTCCTACCACGCCCTCTGTGTCCTAGCAACCCAGGAGCAGCAGGTGCAGAGGTGGAGCTTTGCAGAGGGACTGTGTGCCTGCCTGAGACTACCTTGAGCAAACCACAAGAAATTCGGGGTTTCCCGTGGTTTGATGGAGCTCCGGCTGCGCAGGAATTTTCCTGCTTTACTTAACTTTTTTTGTGTGACTTTCAGGACGGTCAGACCTTTCTGATCAGAGCATTCATGAACATAAAACAGTGAGCAGAAAAACAGCCCAGCCTCTTCCAGGACTGAGAGATCGGCGGTGGTGAGAGAAAAGAAAGGGCAATGAAAAGCCATACAGCCTTGGCAGCTCAAACGGGTCCCTTTGCTTTGAGTTAGAGCAAGAGTATAGAGGATCCTATCGGAACGGAATCGGAACGCAGAAAATCCCACGAGTGTTCCTGACTTGGATCCTCCTTCTCCACTAACACTAGAGTGTGAGCAGAGATATCCCCTGTACCCTTCTCCGTGTTGGGTCATTCATCAGGTGGGATGAGGAGTAAGGCAAAGCCTGAGTGATGGTTTGAAACCAGGTTGCTTTCAAAGCTGCCCATGGGATGCTGTCTGTGCCGGTCGACAAAGGAGACCCTTTGCACGCTCCCTGGAGCGCTCAGCATCCTCCTGCTCTAGGGTACTTCAAGAAGCAGGGCACCTATATCCCTTGAACAGGCCTCCCTGATCAACTTTTAGCAAGGATGAGGGATTCAGAGAGCACCAGGGAGGCGCTGAATCAGGACACCTGAGAAGTGCAGCAAGTTCTGGGCAAGTCTGACCAAGGGGCTTTATCTGAACTCTGCTGGGCCTTTGGCTGAGAGTGGGCACAGCACATCCCACTGGTACTTCTGAATCTTAGCTTTTCAAGATGCTAGGACAAGGCCAGGTCCCACACGGAGTGTGCAAGACAGGCGGGCTTGCTGATGATTGCTCAGACTTAAGGGTTCCTGAAGCAGGTGTCTTGCTGGTGTGCCGAGAAGACCTGATTCTCTCCGCATCTTGTCTACCATCTCCTCCCTAAGAGGCTCCTTCTGGCCTCTGACTTCTCTGCTGTCAGTTCATTCTATCAACCGACTTGCACTGGAGAGGAACAGAGAAGACGTGTAGGCCACATGCCTGCCGTGTGTGTGTGTGTGTGTATGTATGTGTGTGTGTGTATGTGTGTGTGTATGTGTGTGTATGTATGTGTGTGTGTATGTGTGTGTGTATGTGTGTGTGTATGTGTGTGTGTATGTGTGTGTGTATGTGTGTGTGT